ACCGGAGAAAAACCAAAAAAAAAAAAAAAAGTTAAACATATCTTCTTAAACATATATCACTGCTTTACAGTAAAAACATTGAAAATCCTTTCCTCTAGATTTTTGAGATGTGCAGTGCACAATCACTGTCTGTAGTCACCTTACTGTAGAATAGCACACTAGAACTCACAGACTGGTTAAAAATACTGTAGTGCTACTAATACAAACTTGAGGGCATTAATTTCTATACTAAGCAATGACTATCATGGACAAGAGGGCGACTGGTACACCGTGCTGTAATCATCAGCGCCAAGTGCCAGTCCTACAGTGGAGTGAGTGCCAGTGTGTAGGTGAATGAGGGGAAGGAGGAAGACAAGGTTTTCATTGTGTGTATTTTAAATATTTCACTTTAGCCATGCCCTGGAGTCATACACTGCCCTGCCCTACCACATGCGGAGCCCCTGCCCTTCCAACCCCATCTCTCGACCAGCGTACCAGGGCAGCAACCCAATCAGCGACATTTGGTCAGTCCAAGCACTGCGGATCGTTGCCAAGTATCTGAAGAGGTATGTCGTCCCTAGGGGACAGCCAGAACAGAGAAACTGCATCCTGCCATCACATGGAATGTGACGTGCCTGATCCAGAATCATCCGGAGCCAGTCTGTCCACCAGATCAGCCCGTAGACATAGAGAAGCACAAGATACCGGAAAGCTCTGAAGGGATCTCAGGGCTGGCAGTGAAAACTGGATCCTTCATCTGCAAAGGAAAACCAGGTCCTGCGATCCCCTTTGGCCATGGGGACAAATGGAAAGCCCTAATTTCTGCAGGGTGTAGATTAAGTAAATGGATGAGGGAGCTATCCTTTGAGATTTGGCTCCCCAGGACAAAAATGAGAACCAACCATCCAGGCCCTTGCAAACATACAGGGAAGCCACCACTGAGCAAATACACATGAACTAAATTTAAAATCTGTACAGATTACTGACCTAGGAGATGTAAGAGGCAAAAAATGTAAAAGAATCCCTTAAAAGGTTTTTGAAAGATTTAAGGATAAAAATACAACTCAGAAGGCTGAGGCAGGATGATTGCCATGTGTTTGAGGCCAGCGTAGGCTACATAACAACTTCAAGGCCAGCCTGAAATATAAGACCCAGTCTCAAAAAAATACAAGTTAGGCACAGTGACACATGCCTATAGTCCCAAGAAGATCACTTGACCCCAGGAGTTTGAAGCCAGCCTGGGGAATATAATAACCCCATTAATTTTTTTTCAAAAAACTTAGAGCTGAGGATGTAGCTCACTCAGTGATAGAGTACATGCTGGGTGTGGTGGCGCACACCTGTAATCTCAGCACTCCGGATGCTGGGGCAGGAGGAT